TGGCCAAAAATCCTTTAAGGCTTTAGACTTACAATTTTTGTCATTTCGGCCAAAAAATGGATTTTCAAAATTTCAGTATAGGTACTCCAGATATTAACAGCAGGATCTGTTAACCAAAATTTGATATCTTGATTATAACTTGTTCAAATGGCTTTTAGAAAATGTTCAAATGATTTTTAGAATATTTTAATTACTTTTGCAATGCTAATTACTCGCCACTTATGGGTTTTCGAGGTCATTTCTTGGTGCTTGTGTATTATTCTGGATGTACTTAAATAGTTAGGCACATTAAATTTTAGTTCAGAGAGAAAACGTATTTTTGGCCAAAAATCCTTTAAGGCTTTAGACTTACAATTTTTGTCATTTCGGCCAAAAAATGGATTTTGTTCAAAATTTCAGTATAGGTACTCCTGAATGTGCTGCTTAAGGATCTGTTAACCAAAATTTGATATCTTGATTATAACTTGTTCAAATGGCTTTTAGAAAATGTTCAAATGATTTTTAGAATATTTTAATTACTTTTGCAATGCTAATTACTCGCCACTTATGGGTTTTCGAGGTCATTTCTTGGTGCTTGTGTATTATTCTGGATGTACTTAAATAGTTAGGCACATTAAATTTTAGTTCAGAGAGAAAACGTATTTTTGGCCAAAAATCCTTTAAGGCTTTAGACTTACAATTTTTGTCATTTTCGGCCAAAAAATGGATTTTGTTCAAAATTTCAGTATAGGTAATAAGACTTCCTTTTTTGGTGGTTTTGGGCCAAAAATTTGATTTTGCTGAAAATCACAGTATGAGTACTCCTGATCTTGCTGATTATGAATATGTGGTCCACAATTCGATTGCAGAGTAATTAGTGGCCAAAATGGCCCTTGAAATATTTTACTAACATTTTTCAATGCTAATTACTCATCAACTATGGGTTTCCAAGGTGTGATTTAGGGTTTGTGTGTTATTCAGAAAGTGCTTAATTAGTTAAACCCCTTAAATTTCAATTCTGAGAAAAACGAATATTTTGGCCAAAAATTTTGTAAGGTATAAGACTTACCTTTTTGGTGGTTTTGGGCCAAAAATTAGATTTTGCTGAAAATCACAGTATGGGTACTCCTTAGCTTGCTGATTGTGAATATGTGGTCCACGATTCGATTGCAGAGTAATTAGTGGCCAAAATGATCCTTAAATTATTTTACTGAAAATTTTCAATGCTAATTACTCATCAATTATGCGTTTCCCAGGTGTGATTTAGGGTTTGTGTGTTATTCTGAAAGTACTTAATTATTTAAACCCCTTAAATTTCAATTCTGAGAAAAAAGTATAATTTGGCCAAAAATTGTGCAAGGTGTAAGACTTACATTTTTGGTGGTTTTGGGCGAAAAATTACATTTTGCTGAGAATCACAGTATGGGTACTCCTGAGCTTGCTGATTATGAATATGTGGTCCACGATTCGATTGCGGAGTAATTTGTGGCCAAAATGACCCTTAAATTTTTTTACTGAAAATTTTCAATGCTAATTACTCATCAACTATGGGTTTCCAAGGTGTGGTTTAGGGTTTGTGTGTTATTCTGAAAGTACTTAATTAGTTACACCCCTTAAATTTCAATTCTGAGAAAAAAGTATATTTTATCAAAAAATTTTGTAAGGTGTAAGACTTACATTTTTGGTGGTTTTGGGCCAAAAATTAGATTTTGCTGAAAATCACAGTAAGAGTACTCCTTAGCTTGCTGATTGTGAATATGTGGTCCACGATTCGATTGCAGAGTAATTCGTGGCCAAAATGACCCTTAAATTATTTTACTGACATTTTTCAATGCTAATTACTCATCAACTATGGGTTCCAAGGTGTTATTTTGGGTTTGTGTGTTATTCTGAAAGTGCTTAATTAGTTAAACCCCTTAAATTTCAATTCTGAGAAAAAATTATTTTTGGCCAAAAATTAGATTTTGCTGAAAATCACAGTATGGGTACTCCTGAGCTTGCTGATCATGAATATGTGGTCCTCGATTCGATTGCAGAGTAATAACACACAAACCCTAGCTCACACCTTGGAAACCCATAGTTGATGAGTAATTAGCATTGAAAAATTTCAGTAAAATATTTCAAGGGTCATTTTGGCCACTAATTACTCTGAGAGCGTCACAACGACTGGCAGGTGATCGTTGGTACTGATGGGTCCGGCGGTAACGTGCCTGTTCAGGACGGCCTCGCTGTTAGAGAGGTTTATGTCGGGTGTTGTGGCACTGGCACGTCTGACCAATGTTGGGAAATCTGGCCCGAGGTGTTGCAGTTTTCCCCTTCTGATATTGTCATACAGCGCCACACCGACATTGTTCTCATTAACTTGTCCAAGTATGGCGTGGCGCGCATTTAAGTCCCCTATGATGTATGTTGGTTTTCTGTGGCGTAGCAACTGGTTGAGGCCTTGTTCGGGAAAGTAAGGACGTCTGGGAGGTAGGTACATTGTGCATATGATAACAGGTCCCCTAGTTGTCTCCACCTGCACTCCCAGAACTGAATCCTCGAAGTCCGGCAACACTCTGTGACTCAGCCGTGACCTGATGGCTACAGCGACACCATCGTTCAGCTCACCACAGCTACTACAACTACTACTACAATACTCATTACAGTACTACCACTACAGTAATATACACACCACCACCATTACTGGATTGTTATATTCACATTATATTATTACATTACTATACACGACAAAGTAAGTTGTACAAGCAACTATGATCATTGCTCAACCCTTAACCCTTTACCAATATTCCTCACACCTACAGTAGATATATCTCCCTACAGTACTGTATATACCTCAGTACAGATACACGAGGGAACCCTACCAGGAGCCCTCCCAGGGCCCTCTAAGGAATCTGCCAAGGTTCTTACCAGGGGCCCTACCAGTGGCCCTCCCAGTGACTCTACCAGAGCCCTCCCATGGACCCTAACAGGAGCCCTCCCATGGACCCTAACATGGGACCTCCCAGGGACCCTAACAGGGACCCTAACAGGGGCCCTACCAGAGACCCTCCCAGGTGCCCTACTAGGGGTGCCGCCCCCTGGGGCCCTACCAGGACCACCGCTCCCAGGGGCCCTACCAGGGATCATCCAAATGAGCCCTCCCAAGGACCCTACCAGGAGCCCTTCCAGGGACATCATGAGGGGCCCTTCCATGGGCCTTCACAGGGGCACTTCCAAGGGCCCTACCGGTAGGTAGATGTAGGGGGGGAGGAGAATGGATAGGTGGAAGAGGTGGAGAAGGATGGGTAGGTGGAGGACAGGTAAGTGAAGGAGGCCGGTAGGTGGTGTAGGACGGGGTAGGTAGAGGGGGGTGAAGGACAGTTAGGTGGAGGAGGGCAGTTAGGTGGAAGAGAACAGTTAAGTGAACGAGGACGGGTAGGTGGAGGAGGATGAGGGCAACAGGCAAGAGGAGAACGGGTAGGTGGAGGAGGAGGACGACGGGTAGGAGGACGACAGGTAGGTGGAGGAGGAGGACGGGTAGGTGGATGAGGAGGACAACGGGCAGGGGGACGAGAGGCAGGTGGGAGAGGATGAGGAGGACAATGGGGTTTGAGGAGGACGACAGGTAGGTGGAAGAGGACGGGTAGGTGGAGGATGATAACGGGCAGGTGGAGGAGGAGAGCGGGCAGGTGGAGGACAATAGGATTCCGCTCCAAAAGATGGTAATATTTTGCCCCAGAATACGGTAGGATCTACTCCAGAAGACAGTAGGTTTCCGCCCAAGAAAACAGCAAGATTCCATCCCAGAAGACAGTAGGATTCCACCCCAGAAGATGGTAGTATTTCACCCCAGATGACAGTAGGATTTTAATGACACATTTCAATGTTAATTACTTGCTAACTATGGGTTTCCTGGGGTAAGGCTTACAATTTTCGGCCAAAAAATAGATTTGGTTGAAAATCTCGGTAAAAGTACTCCTGAGCATGCCAATTTCAAACATATGGTCCACGGATTACTGGAGGATTCTGCCCCAGAAGACAGTAGGATTCCGCCCTAGATTAGGGTAGGATCTCACCCCAAAAGACCAAGATTCTGCCAGATAAAATGGTAGGATTCCACCCCAGAAGACAGTACTTTTTTACTTCCCCCTTTGCTCCTCCCTGTTCAAATATACACACTTCAACAGTAATCAAACGTCTCAATTAGGTATTTGCCCTTTGTGGTATGGCAAATTTCATCCACTCTGTTCAGGATCATTCCTTCAGGTCACGTGAACTCAAGTTTTACCTTTCCCAAAGAAAAATAGCAACAAGTCGATAACACCATATTATCTTGGAAACAAGATATGTTAAACTATTTTTCTTGCTCCAAGATAACACAACCTAGTTGATCAGCAATGGGAAACGATGCTTCCTGATGTATTGTACTCCACAAGGGTTCCACATCTTTTCAATTCCACCAACACTACCCTACATGAACGATTCTTTGGTTTTCAGCTTTGCTCTTCTCACGGTACTTCTCTACCATCATGGTTGACAACTCTTGACCAGGTACTGTTCCAAAGCTTTGTCCAGTCTAACAAATGTGATCTTCTTGCTGGCCAACTTATGGTAATGTGTGGCATCCTGACAGTCTCAATGTCCAACTGGCCCAACAGCAGTTCCAGTTGATGGTGGAGCTCTTATGAATGTTGTTCACATCAAAATGTCAAACGATCCATTAGCTACTTCACCAGAATCAGTGGAATGGAGTTCCACTTTGTTGGTTTTAACAACACCCACATTGACAGCCTACTCAAATATCAAAGCCACATGAACACTATGGCTCAATCATCCTAGGCAGGAAAACAAACCTCTTCCATTGTTTATTTCATTTGTAAGGTATTCTTTTATATTGTCTTTTCAGGTACGTTGTGAAATGAGTTAACTAAAACTCGTTTAATGCCTAAATTAGTTCTTACTTCATCCTATGTCAGACTTTCTATCTGATCCAAGTCTTAATACTAAATTTTTTCCTCAGGTCTTTGAATGAAACACAGTTTGTCAAGGCCATTTATTGCAGTCAGTTGGAGTCCAGCACAAGTATATATAATAAGTGGACATAATGGATGCTGCCTGATCCTTAAATACATGCATAGTAATTTATCATTACCATATTCACTAGTTCTGTAAAAACAGTTTGTTACTTTTCCTTTCATTACCACTAATGTAAATGCACTTGGCACATCACCCCTGAATAGGAACTTCAACACCCAATACCACACTCCCCAACCTAAAAGACAAGAGGGCTTTAAACAAGATAAATTGGTCTTGGACAAATGGACGGTACACTATTGTCCTCCTTCACAGCTGAAGATGAAATTCTTCTGGAGTTTAAAGATATCACCTCATAAACCACACCTTCATTTACTGTTAATCCAAAATATTCATGTACCCAATCTGTACTGAACTGTATCTTCATATTTAAATGTTTCACTACCGAGATTCTAGAGTCTGCTCTTATCTTATAAGAATTACTGTACTTATACAACAGTGACAAATTATAAGAAAATATTCTAACAGACTCGAGAATCATTTTATTTTGGATAAATATACTTGCACATCCTAACTGACATGTCATGACAGAACTTCAGGCCCTAACTTGTTGGTAAGCAATGCTGTACCCTGCTCTTTTATAGAAAACTTTGCTTAATCAAAATTCTTCTATGTAATACCTGATCAGTTCAAATTAACAAATGCAATAGCAATATCAAAACAAAGCACCTGATAGAAGCTTTTATACCTTAAATCACAAATCAAAATTGTTTACTGCTATTCTTATTTCTTATCACCATCCTGTACAGTTTATCACTTCCCAAATACCCTCTACTCTTCAGAATAGAAATATTCCACTGGATTTGGTCTACAACTATAAGGCCATATTTTCTACTGACAATTGGGAATGATATATGTAAATGAGGTCAATTTGCTGTGAGCAATGGCTTAATTTTAAGGTCACTTGTAAGATAACAATAAATAAAAATCACCAAGGATACAACCAGTGCATACAACTATTTTGCGAAAATATTTAAAACTATGTGGATGGTTGTAATTAAGCTCTATATAAATGTGGGTACAGGATGCATAAGAAAATTTTCAATCACTAATTGGCCTGGCAACTATACAAGATACTGTAATTATGATAATACATAACAATAATAATCATATAGGTAGCTCTTAACTAATGGTAATATGTTATTCATTAATTATTAATCTATACATTGTAGCAGATTGGAAGCATTCATGGTTAGTTTGATACAAAGTTAGGAAAATCTATTATGACAGTAAAAAAAGTTTACATGCAGGATGCATGTTTCATACTATTCCATGTAAACTAGCAATTATTATTGCCAGAGCCACCTTAGTTTAACCTTTACTGCTGGCAATAGGTGGCATACATTTATGGTGTGGATCTGGTAGCATGTCAGGACCACTAATATTTTTCATCCCTTAATTCACACCTGACCCCTCCCCTCCCCATACCAACTGTTACCACAAGTGTACTTATATCCTCCATTAAATAATGTCACTTGTTGCTTGGCAACTACCAACTCATTCCATCTCACACTCACAGGGTTCACTGCCCCTTCATTACCCCTAACAATCAGCTTCTACCTTTTAGGCATGTAGGACTAAGGTACCTAAAATTAACTGTACCAACACTTTACAAGCTGGGGATTGTCAGAGGTTAGGATGAGGCAACTTTGTGCTTTCTGCAATCTTTTATCCACTCCATGTAAGTCTTCCCTTTGGATTAAGTACAAATATGCCAACACTAAAACACCCTAATTTCTTGGAATGTTATAAAATAATTTGTCAGTTCACTCACTGGGTATGCAAATATGGCAACAAATTCAACAAGAAGACACACCCATTGCAACAGATACGATCCTATAAATAATTTTATTTTTCATATTTAAATATTTAAGATTAAAATATATTTTAATATCCACATCTGAACACTGTTTAAAGTGATAGACCAATAGTTCTAATTCTATACGTATTAAATATACTGATTTTAGTCAAATTGTTGGCAATTTTTAATGCAGCCACACAACTAAAATGCTTTAAACTTGTCAACCCCAAACTTCATCTTTTGACAACATCAATGTGCAAGGAATTTTCTTAATGTGTAATGATGAAGTGGAGAGATTTTGGATAAGCATATTTAACAATGGTATCCCTCAAGGAGGGTGTGTCCTGGGACCAGTGATGTGGTGTGTGCTGGCTTTTCACTTGGTGGCATCTTCCTCCCCATCAACAGAATCATCTGCATTTTGTGAGTCGTCACTGGCTGCAGCAATGGATCCACGCTTCATCCCCAAGAACTCAAGACGGGAGCTGAGTCCAGCACCACCTCGCCTAATAGGAAAAAATTTTAAGATAATTTTTTTTTCCTCAATAAGTGATAAACCTGATAGGCTCTACTGACTTTAAGCTTAAAATTACAGCAAGGCTACAGGATGTTTGTCAAAAAAATTTATAAATGCTTTAAAGATTTACAGCTTAAATGTGAAAGCCTCTGAACAAGGGTACAGATTGCAGCTTATTTGTAAATTATGAGAAGATTATGAACATTATGAATACAGAATGGACTGACAAATGAAATATGCATGTGCATTCAGCAAAAGTGTGAAGCAGGTAATTTGCATGCATACAATAAAAAGGAATAGGCTCAAGTTTGAAAGCTTCATTCACTAATCAATATTACTACTAAGTGACATAGTTAGATAATGTTGTGCTTATTCTACAGTGCAAGAACAAACGTCAAATAAGTGGGCACAAAAAAATTCCTCATGCATATATGATTAGGTTACTACTAACGTGTGACCTTTCCGAGAGGAGTATCTGTAGGGGGACGGGAAATGCTGAGAAAATGGTTTTGACAACCAGTTTTACTTTCTCAAGCAACTTATATATCAGTATCTAATATAGTTGCATCACATAAAATGGTCATGCAAATTGATGCAACATTATCAAAAAATAAAAATAAATAAATATAAAATAAATCACAAAGAACCTAATGGGTGTTACAACTGAAATGTTAAGATATTAGTTGAAATAAAATCATTATATGTTAATTTAACTTGTGGTTGGAATTATGACAAACAAGTACATCAAAAATCACAAGAATATGCAAGACTATTCTATAATGTAATGGTTTCCACCTCGCACACAAGGCATTGCCTCACTACTCGGGCTAATAACCACAAGAAAACAAACTTCTCGTCTTCACTGCTACTGAAATCTTGAGTTAGATCAATCACATTTGAAGTCGAGGCATTCTTCATAAGCTTGCACAGGCCACGATTTGTTCGTTTTGTGATTTGATTTAAGACCTTTTCAGCCTCAGCTTGGCTACAGGAGCCATAAAATAAAGAGGGACATTAGATTTTTTTTTTTTATACCGAGAACTATATTAAAATCTATTATAATCTACTAATATTAAACTAAATGCCTAACTCTCTAGATTCCTATGATCTACAAAGTTCATGCCCCATCCATCACCAATTATATCCTAAACCAAATTAATAAGAAATCATTGAACAGCACATTTGTGATGGACACCAATGCAATTAGGCGCAAAAAAGCATGGTGTAGCAAGTAAAAATTAAAAGAAAAACAAGAAAAAAGTGCAGAACTAAACAATAACTATAATCATGAAGTACTCAAAGAATGTCTACAGGAGAAAGACCTTGTATGAGGTACCCACAAGAGCCTAGTCTTCATTGTCGTCCCGTGCTATAGAAGTCGTGGTGGTAGTCCGCCGACTACTCAGCATGTGACTACCCATTTTACTACTGCTGCAACACACCAAGCATTGGGTATCTTCAAATCAAAATTGTCAAGAAACACGAAATTTTCATACAAGGAGACATCTGTTTGATCGCATTGAAATAATAAAAAATAATAATAAAATAAACAAAACAAATAAAAAAAATATTTTATAAGTTATTGCAATGCATGGAAAATACACTCCTACTCCTCTGAACACATTTATGTGTTGGACAATTCTCAAATCACCATAGAATATACTTTCATTGAAATAATTCTTAAAATACATTCTCAACTGGCATCCTTGATAAATTATTCCGTTTTTTCACTAATATGTGTTGTGTTCCACTGAAAGAGCACATCAGCAATTTGAAGATAGTCACATTAATAATAAAACTGTTCAGCTGAAGAATAGCCTAAGTAAAAGCTTGTCCACATCTTCACCATACTGTAAAGGGACAACCCCACTGTCCAGGCATAGCTCAGCACAAGATCAAGAATAACAGGTCTAATGAAGAATTTTGGTTCTACTGTGCATTAAAAAAATATATATAAATACGGTGGTCCCTCGGTTAACGAATTACCTCCCATAAGGATCTTCAATTCAGTTAATGAACAAAACTTTGATTAACGAAATCCTTACGAACAACACGTTTTGTTGTGAGCATCAGCTGATGGACTAGTCTGCCAATTCAGTAATCTGTTCTATGCTTACATTCGTTTCCAGTGGAGTAAATATCAAGAAAGTTGTGCTCTTTAATAATTTGGCATTTTTTATATTAAAATTATTATTCATTTTAAAATTTAGTTAACATTGATAATATGTGCACCCATCAGCCGCTGACTCAGCCACCAGGCATCAGTTGGCTTTGTTGACAGTGGAGTGAACATCATTTTGTTGGTGTCTTGAATATTTTTGCATTTACATTGAAATTATTGGTCATTCTGAAATTTAGTTAACATATTGATAATATATACTGTAGTGCAGTGTTGATTTAAATAAATTAATGATGGCATCAAGCAAGGGTTCCCTGAAAGATGATTTCTCCTCCATCCTCACTTCCTTCTCTTCTCCCTTTTCCTCCACCCCCACTTCTAATTCCCATCATCAACCAGGAACCTTCTACATACACACCTCAAAGTAAGTGTACTTTACTGCAATTTTTTTTTTTTTTTTTGTACTTTTCTGTGAGCTGGAACCAATTACCCAATATCCCACTGAAACAATGGATTCGGTTAACGAACGACTCTGTGGAACGAGGGACCACTGTAAATAAATAAATAAATAAAATAAGTAAAATACAAATAACAGAAATATCCCTAAATGGGCAGTAGCTTGCTTAACCATAGCTTCAATAATGATTTGTGGCAATTTCATTAAAATCATTATTTCTTGTTGCTCTATGTCTAGTCTACATAACCATTTTGACTTCACCGTAATTCTCCCACTTAACATTTCGGTTGTAAAAATATATAGCATAAAGGTGTTATTATAATGATATCTTCTATATCTTAATTACTTCAGTAAGCAGAGAGTACCATTTTTAAGTATGTCTTCTGTATACAATACACGGTAAAGGAGACAAGTGTAAACGATACTACTGTACACACTGGCTCTTTAAAAATTATTACAAATAAATATTTGTCAAATTTCTGTTGCTACAAATACTCTGAGGGTATCTAAACAACACTAGTATATATACTGTATATGCATATTTGGACACTATTTGCTTCAATTACAATGAACATCAATATACAGTAGATTAATAAAAGAGCCTTCCTTTTACCATCTAGTCTGAAATAAGGAGGGTGGAAGTACTGGTGGCTACCACTGTTAATAAATGCTTTAGTAACACTGATATAACGTATATAAGATATTCTGCTGCAATCTAAAAAATCTATTAACATATTTAAATGATATAATAAAAAGGAAAATCCCAGAATTCATGGACGAGCTTTGGTTTGTCCCCCCACCACCAAAAATGTAAACATGCAAACACGCGTGAATATTTACTTGCTGAACTGTCTAAAGCAATAAAATTAGAGATTGAACAGAAAAAGTACCACCTAACCATTCAAGATAAAGAGTTTAAAATATTTTATAAACAATTCCTTGTCAACCTTTACAGCTTTTTCTTCTCTCAACTAGTGATGGTCCCATCATGCAATGTCACTCTACCTGAGTTTGGTCTTCAGTGAGGATATTTCTCTGTTCTGTGCCTCTTGGGATTCCATCATGTCCTCCACTTCACGTTGAGCTTTACGACGCTGCATCTTCTCCTTTGACAATTCATCTTCCGTTTCTTCCATGGTGCGCTTAAGATGTTTCACTCGAGCATTTGACTACAAGAACAAAAATTAATTAATACACTGCTCAGCAAGTAATTTTAATTTTTAATTTATTAAAAAAAAAAAAAAAAATTATACCCTTGCACACTCCACACAAAGTGATATGGTACCCTGTTGCATTTCAAAACATGAAAGCTTCATCTCCAGCAATATAGTTCCTACCATGAAACTATCAACAACTTGTACATAAATGATCCATGAAAATCAGCATAGCTTAATGCATATGAAGGTCTTTATGTAAATATAAAAAACTAACAATGTACACTAAAAAAAAAAAAAAAGGAAAAACATGTACTGTATATATAAACATACTTTATCTAACTGCTCCTTATACTGATCAGCATGACGGCGTTCATCCTCCACCTGCATGACCAGCTCCTTCAACTTCTTCTCCAGTTTACGATTGGCCTTTGCTTGACTAAGGCGGTCACGAGCTTCAACCTCAAGTTGTTCTTCCAAGTTGGAAACCTGATTAATAATGGTAAAGTATCAGTTGTATTAAATACATGTAGACATACACAGCTAGCAAAGTTGTCAAATACAAGCATTTGAACTATTTTACATAATTGTACTACATTTGTGGGTTAAGTACCAGAAAACATTGTGAATTATCCTATGAAATAAAGTTTAAATTATTTAAATAGAAATAATTAGTCATGTTCCAGAGACCAAATAATATGTATAAACTGTTTGAAAACTGCTTTAATAAACACTAAATATTGTACATAATACATAAAAAAACTATAGTAACATATAGGTACAGGAATACCTTGCTATTTGCAACCCCGCTTATCCACAACTTATATTTGCAAAGAATACCCCGCTTATTCGTGAAGAAAAATTACGATACACCACAGTAATAGGTACTGTATTTCAAACCATGCGGGCTAGCCGCAGCTCCCACATTCCGTTGTTAGGCCCGCTTCACACGAAGTGTTTTTTCCGCGCTGGAAAATTCACAGCGGGAGATGCACACTCCACGTCTGTATACTTGTACTTCCAAGCCACAGCGTGAAAAAAACATGCAGAGCATTCTAGAATCCTTCATATGGCAATGATAAATGCGAATTTAAATGGTTGCACTCGTTTACAAATGACGTACACACACAATCGCTCACACATACACACTGTTCGTTTGTATTGTTTTTACGGTAGTTACAGCATTTTATTGCATTATATGGAGTGTACCTGTATATCGAAAAACTATGTTGCTACAAAATAAAAAATATGAAGAGCATGGGTGTTTGTGTGTGTCAAGTAAATGTATGTCGAAGTATTAATATTTCTTGTAACACCTACTATATTTACAGTACCTGCTTTTATTGTACCATCAAAACCGTTTTATCAGAAATTATCATGTAAATAAATAAGTAATTACCATTACAATAAACATAATTGCCAACTAGACATAATCCTGACAGCTCTGTCCTCTTGTTCAACCTTATTACTGTACAACCCAGGTTGTACTGCTCCCCCATTATACTTATGTTTTTCAATTCCACTGTAATTTATATGTATATGTGTATGTATGTGTGTGTGTGTGTATATGTATATATATACATGTGTATGTATGTATATGTATGTATAAATAAAATATAAAATAATAAATAAATAAAAAATATAAATAATAAAATAAATAAATATTGAAGTGATAACCGTGGTAACATTATGGGATATACTTATTACCACCATGCTATTGTACTGTTCCAGATGAGAATAAATGTTACGCAATACTTCCTTGAGATAAATGTATAGTATATATCAGGTGCCTCAAAGAGAGCTCAGGTTCTCAACTGGCTCAGCCATGTTAATATTGTTATTATTATCCACTCTGTATCAGTATTTTTCTGGCAAAATAAAAATGTTTCAATTCAATTCAATTCAACTTGTCTGGTTGCTAAGTTAGACTATCCCTGTAGCTACACTCCACTAGCCCTCCTCCCTACCAGGCAAAGCTGTGTCTGTTATTTTTCAACTCGTATTTTCAGGTAGATACAGTGACCCCTTGTTTAACGAACGCCACGGTTAACGAAATTTCGGTTAACGAACTGCCTTCCATAAGGATCTTCAATTCGGTTAACGAATTTCTTACGAACCGACCTCAACATTATTTCGCTTGCACTGACCGGACAACCAGCTTTAGTATCAGTCCGCCAATACACTAATCGGTTCTAGGGCTTAAATTCCTTACTATTTCAGTAAATATCAAGAAGTTTATACTATTCAATAATTTTAAAAGTTTAATATTCAATTTTTTAGTCATTTTAACAATTATTGAACATAATTGAAGGTAAAGTGACTAGTTTAATGCGCGGCATCCAGCCTCTTAACACAGCAAACAGACGTTAGTCTCTCTCTGTTTTCAGTGGAGGTAACATCTTGCTTGAGACTCTCTTCAACTAAATGCTTTTTTTCTGTGTTTCCAAGCAAATTATTGGTCATTTTGAAATATATTTTACATATTGACAATATATAATGCAGTGCAGTGTTGATTTAAAGAAAATCTTGAATTACACCAAGAGAACTAAAATTTTATGGGTGAAATGGTGCCATGGGGTGACTTCTCTTCCACCCCAATGCCTTCTCTTCTTCCTTCTCCTCCACCCCCATTCTAATTCCCATCATCATCATCCAGGAGCCTTCTACCTCAAAGTAAGTGTAATTTTCTACCCTTTTTGTTGAATTTAAGCAATTTTCGGTGAGCTGGAACCAATTACCCAAAAACCCATTGAAACAATGGTTTCGGTTAACGAGTTTTTCGGTTAACGAGCAACCTGCTGGAACGGATTGTGCTCGTTAACCGAGGGACCACTGTACTGTATATTCTATGACATTATCAAGACTAAGTTAAAAAGTTTGGTAAAGGAAAGAAAAGTGGTGTTTCTTCTAAGGAAAAGTATGAGGAAGGGAAAAGTTATGGCAATGCTGTAAGTTACACCTATGCTATTGTAATACAGGGTATATCTTTGTGTCAGACTAAGAATAACCACCCATACACTCTGTGTCTGTACATTATACAGTACTTTAATGCACCATAACTGCCATTTTTAAAATCTAAAAAATTCATATTCAGAAAATCTTTCATAGCTATGTATTAGTAAAACAGCACTTCTTGGGGCCCTCTATTCCCGGATTAGTCCTAACAATGAAAGTTCTACTTTAGTAATAACAAGTGATCGCGGGCCCTTCGTGCCCGGTGAAAGTTTGAACGCTCGTGCTTGGCTAGCGTGCAACCGCCGTCCGGCTGACAGCGTACAGCGAATGAGGGTGCGCCAAGTTCGTAGACTTGCGTCATTATCCAGCATAAATAAAATGGTTAATTAATGCCTTCCTAAAGAAACCATCGACATGGGACCAGGTTTGTTCCACTCTACGAATTTTATGCAATTTTTCCACCAACTTTGATGAAAAACGATTGTGCCGTTTCGGCTGGCCAGAACAGACAGACACACGGCTATTCCTATAGTATATTAGATAGCACCGCTATTGAGGACAAGAGTAGGCACTTGTATGGTCTTATTTCATAATGAAGTCAAGGTCAAAGAACTCCGTATAATCTACAGGGGTACTTGCTTTTATAAACTGAATTTTGGTTCTTCACCATTAAATTTCTCACATTACACTGTACATTACACATCCCTGACAAAATTCATATTTTCAAGAGGAATGTTTAAATGGTTTTGATGAAAGTTCCAGGTTATTTATTGCTTTTAACTTGCAATATTTTATTTTAGTCTTTCAAGCCTTAATTTTAATTCGGCGACACATGACTTAACCTGCTGCCTCGCCAGGAACATAATTACCATAAACAATCAACCCCCACTAAAGACTAACAATTGTTTCACTTTCCTTTTATCACTGTTCAGTGTTCCCCAAATCACCCTCAATTTTATTACTTAACCATAAATGCAACAATATAATGTATCCGTCAACTAAACTCTTTTATATTCTTCCTTATGATGCTCACACTCATTCTTTCTGGTATTCTTCCCTCTCATGCACAACCTGTACACACACCATATCTTCAAGATAACCTCTACCAAATATTAATTTATTGTACAAACAACTTGCCATTTTATTAATAAAAAACTGTATATTACAAAAACCAACCTTCGACTCCAGTGCGGCTATTGTTGCTTTTGTCTTTGAACGGATTTCAGCTTCCAGTTCAGCCAGTTTAGCCTTTAGCTCTTTGTTCTGTCGCTCCAGCATGGACCGTTGACCCTCGAGCTTTACCACCGATGATTTTTCCGTGTTGTAATCGGTTTGTAGTTGTTCCATGGATAGCTGGTTCTTACGCATCTTATCCATAAGCACCTACAAGTGGAAAAAAAAATTTTAGACTACAAAATAACATAAGATCATGATATCACAGAATTGGGAAGAATGAGGTTCTTTCAGATTATATCTTAAACCAATAATATGAAGTACATCATCAGTAAAGTGAAAACTTAAAATCCTACGATAATTGTTCTATTGTGTGCTGCAGTGTCCTCTGAAGGACATCTGGAGAGTATTGTTAAAAGCTGAAATTGAGGAGGTAGGTGGATAGGAATGTTTAACATTACAAAAAAATGGTGGCAATGAAACCATCATGTAAAAAATACTTTAAATATTCATGCAGCTATAGCATAGTGGATGAGAGAGAGGATAGTATGGTATGGGACAAGAAAGGCTCACCACCTAAGGACTTACCATCCACTTCTGCACCACAAATACCCATTGCATTGTTTGTCACAACAACCAGGGTTCAGTAGTTGCCAGTTACTCTGTCTCACTTCATAGACTCCTAACTTGTCATCCATGATGAGTACAAGGAATTTATATGGTCTTTGTCTTCTATTTTTCATGTCTTCAATTTCATAAGATTATTTTTTTTAAACTTTAATGTCTTTTGAGTGTGTGTGTTTACTGGGTACCCTTGACTTCCCAAATGCCACAGTTATTGGGTTAATTGCAACCATTCACCATCTACTTCCTTCCATATCACTATTCAATGAGGGAGGGAAATGTATTAACTCTGGTGCTAAATGTAGCTAAGCCACTTTGGATCTGGAAATACTACTATTACAGTAATAGTAATAAGATAGGTGTACTATCCATTAAGTTCATGTTCTGGATACAAAAGCTAGAAACAGGTTAAGGCTACCCACCTCAACGTTGCTCTGTTCCTCCTCCAGTTCTTCTTCAAGGGCAGAGATACGAGCTTCAAGCCTCTTCTTCTCATCTGCACTCAAGGTAGCCTTTGATGTGTATTGGTTAAGTTCCTCTTGAAGTTCATCTCTCTCAATTTCCGCATTCTGATTAATTATAATTTGAGAAGACCAGAAAAAACTATCCATTAGAAGAAGAAATAGAAATATTATTCATCAATTAGAAAGCATGTTAATATTATGTCTCATATCTAATAAAAACATATCTGTGGGTGTAGTCTGCAAGCACACAACCTATCCTAAACCCATTAAGAAAAAGTATTTATGCTCGTGAATAGGTTCCAAAGCAAATAGTCAGTATTATATCACAAATAATGTAGTCTGAACCAGCAGAGACAGCTCTCAAACTACAGTAGGGTATACCACATTCACAAAAAGCAGATATGCACTGGTTAACCTTTCTTTACTTTCTAAACTACTTCCAAGAACTTGAAAATAAAAATGGGTACAGTATGAAAATAACCTAATCCATAATTTTATTGCCAGGAATTTTTTCAGCAATATGTATTAAACTAAATTAAAATAATCCAGGTTATTGTACCAAGCATATAAATGACTCAAACAAAACTCCTTATGGAAAGATATAAAATCCTAAATCATCTCACCTTGCGAGATCTCTCGGCAGATGCAAGATCTTCCTGATATTGAAGCAACTCTGTTTCCATTATTTTAATCTTCCTTTCCAATTCCTTGTACTGTGTAGCCATCTCCTCACGTGAAGCTCTGCTTTCTTCTGTCTCTCTCTGGTATTCCTTCAGTTGTGCTCCTGCTCGTTTCAATTGTTTAAGGGCATCATCCTTGACCTTGCTGTTCATCTCCAGTTGACCTTCCATGTCCTTAAGATCACCCTCCAACTTCTTTCGAGCAGTTACTGCAGCTGTGCGTTGCTTGCGTTCTTCTTCAAGCTCAGCCTCTAGTTCACGCAACTGCTTCACAAGTCCCCGTCGTTTTTCCTCACCCTGTTCCTCTCGAGCATTTAGGTCACGTTCAAACTGCGCTTTCATGGCCTGCATATTCACCTCTAGTCGCAGTTTGGCATCTTCAGTCAACTGTAGTTCATCTTCAAGCTCTTCAATCTGATAAGATAAAATTGTAATGGATATTAATGTCTTTGCTATTTGTTCAAGAAACCAAATAAACTACAAAGTGTCTACATATACTCAAAAGCAAATGGGGTTCTTTTAGTACATACCTGAGTCTTTTGTTCTGCTAATTGACTATCCAAGGCACGTTTTGCTTTTTCCAATTCATGGACATTCTTATCCGCTGTACCTCGAGTAGAAACCAAATCGTCAAGTTCAATCTGTAATCGCTTCTTGACAGTTTCCAGGTCCTCAATACGATCCATGTATTCCTCCAAAGTTCTACAGATAAAATTAAATTATGTATATTTTTCTTTGAACAAATGAATATATACATACATGTGTGTTTCCATAAAACATACCCAAATGGCATAAAATTATTAGTTAAAAAACAGAATAAGAAGAATAATGCAAAGGTTAATCTAAAATTTTTTAAACCTATTCACATAACCTAACGATGCATGTCGTGAATCCCCTCACCCCCAAGCAAATTTCAAAGCTCCACACTGAATACATCTATTAAATATTGCTTATAAATGTGTAGGAGACAGAATTGCAGTTGAATTACCATATAAAATTACCCATGCGTGTGTTTTGATTGGAGGGATAACTACAGAAATACATATTTTTACTTTAGTTCCTGCTATAAATAATCCACCTTTCCATTTCAGTATTAAGACTGTGCAGTACTTCTAAAAATATCCTTATTACATAAAATCCCTAAGAGTTCTGACTTCAGTCACTTCCACCAATTCAGCCAGAAAACAAAAACCATGTTCTTTCCTGGAAACATCAATGCTGACAACTACACCTACATGAATTCTATAATTACAGCAGTTTTATATAATCTTTGAGAGTTATCCTTAAGTGGTTCACATAAATTAGTGGTTTTCTCCTCCTCATTATTAAACTAGACCAATTGAGTTATGTAAAGAGCAGTCATAAGTTATAAAATTTTATCTGAAGATGGTTATTAGATACTTTTAAAAGACTGATGGAAGAAAATGATAAATTTAGGGTAAAACTAATTGAAAAAAATTATAGATGAACATTCCATTTCATTCTACATGTTCTACACTGCTGAACATACAAAACTGCAACTTAAGCAAGGAGAACATAAAAAAAAAAATACTGCTAATCCAACCTGTTAAGTGAGAGAATCTTCGTCTCCTTCTCCCTGGCCTCACGTTCTGAATTTTCCTTTTCTTGTTGACAGCGCTCATAGTTACCCTTCTCTTCATTGAGCAGTTTATCAAAGTTTCGTTGTTTCTTTTCCAGTTCCACAACCTTGGCACGGTTGGCATCAATGTCAACTTGGGCATCTTCTAATTCTGCCTGCAACTTGCGTTTACTCTTCTCTAACTTCTCGTTTGCTGCTTCCAATTCTGACAAACGAGCACGAAGTTCTTCCAATTCCTTCATCTGACGCTTGCGTGTCTCTTCCAGTTGTTGTGCATTTCCAGACTCTTCATCAGCCTTCTTCTTTGCCTCACTTAACTGTACTTGTAGAGTAGCAACTTGTTTCTCAAAATTACGCTTGGCACTTTCTTCCTCATCAAGAGACTCCTGCAAGTGATCTTTCTCTTGTTCAAGACCACGTACTCGAGAGTTGAGGTTCAGCTTCTGCCGGGTTTCTTCCTCGAGCAAGCCTTGTATCTCTTGTAAGTGAGATTCAAGATTCTTCAACTGGTTATTAGCTGTCATAGACTTAGAATCAGCTTCTTCCATAGCAATATTTGCAGCATTCAGTTCTTGTTCTAGTCTATTCTGGCGTTCTTGTAGTTCAGACCTATTACGGTCAGATTCTGCAATCTTCAACTGCAAGTCAGAGATTACAGCTTCACATTGTTTTCTCTTCTTTTCACTTTCTTGCTTTGATAATGTAATACTCTTCAGATCATTGGCAAAGTCTGCATTTTCAGCTTCAAGTTGATTCTTTGCCTTCTCTAATCCACTCTTTAATTTCTTGAACTGATCAATTTCCACATTAAGGTTTTCTAAAGCATGAGAATGTTTCTGGCGGAGCTCAGCAATCTGTTGTTCATGGATTGTTTGATCATCATCTAAGCTCTTCTTGAGGGAGGCCAGCTCCTCCTCTCTCTTGCTACGTAGTTCTTGCTGTGCTGCTGTTGTATCTAGGGAATCCAACAGTTCATTCTTAAGTGCCTCCAATTCCTCATTCAGGTCTCTCTTTTGTTTCTCTGCCTTTGCTCTAAGGGTTCGTTCAGCTTCAAGATCTTCCTGAAGTTCATTTAGCTGGGATTCAACTTCACGCATACTTTTCTGCAGTTGTGACTTGGCAGCAGCCTCTTCATCAACACGCATCATAGCCTGAGCCAATTCTTCCTCTCGTTTGGCTAGATGAATCTGTACTTCATGAATTTGGTTCTTTTTCTCACTGATCTGTTCTTTCAAGTCGTTCAGATCAGTTTCACATTTCCTCTTAGAGCGTTCTAATTCTGATCTACCTTGCTGCTCTTTCTTCATTCTGTCCTCAAGATCTGTAATCATTGATTCATGCTTAGCTTTGAGTTTCATAAGGTGCTTTGATTTTTCTTCTTCCTCGGCTAATGTACTCGAAACATCCGATGACCGTTCTTCCATTAATTTCTTTTCTTTGAGTAATTTTTGGTTTATATCCTCAAGAAGTGCATGTTCTTCTTCGAATTTTTTTAATTTGGCATCACACTGAACTTTCTCAAGCTGAAGTTTTTGCCGTGCAGCCTCTTCCTCTTCTAATTGTTCTTCTAGGTCCTGAATCTGAAGCTGAAGCTTCTTTTTCTCTGTTGTAAGGCTTCCTGTGCGTTCCTCTTCTTCTTCAAGTCTGGTTTCCATGTCGTGCAAAATATCTTCAAGTTCTTGTTTACGTGCTAAAAGACGAGCCCTCATCTCTTCAGCTTCAGCACATAACTCTGTCTCAGCTTGCAATTGTTCTGCTAAGACATTCTTTTCCTGTAGAGCCTGCTGGAATTTATTTTCCATGTCTACATTAGTTTTCTTTTGACCTTCTAGTACATTTTGTATCATTTTAAGCTCTTCTTCTTTCTGCACGAGCTTTTCTTCTTGTTTGGTTACCTGAAGAAGTGGCTTCACCTTTGTGTAAAGGCGCCACCACTGCCAATTACGGAGCTTGAGGTAAGCAGCACAATTACGCTGGATGATTCTGATGGCATTCAATTGCTGAAGTCTCTTCTGATAGTTCTTACGTGCCAACATACCACGACAATATGCCTGAAATTGTACAATGAGATCTGTCATTTTGATGTCTCTCTCTTCCTCCAAAGATGCCAGAACACCAGCCCTCAGGAAAATCTTGCTCTGACCAATGCGGTACAAATTTGGTTCTAGTTCCAGGGCTTGGATCATCATCTCACAGGCCTTTTTGCCATCCATAAAGCCCTTGGGGATAACATTAGGAGTGAGGAGCTCATAACGCTGGCGGAACTCCTGGAAAGGGATGCGATTGGGGAAGCCCTGGCGACAGATCCTGATACCCTCAAGCACACCATTACACCTGGAAAATAATAAAAAATAATAAATGAAAAGGGAAAGAAAATTGCCATTATATTAACCTGACTGTAATACAAAATATATCACTTCGAATAAGTCGAGCATAGCCAAGTGAACATGTTGGGTTCTTGGTTACACAGTATAAAATATAAGCAGTGTTTCAATCACCTGTTTATAATGGAATGCTGCCTAATATAATAAAAGTTTAAATTCTGACATAATAATTGGATTTTTTTTTTTGAGGGGGGGGGGTGAATTAACCAATCTGTATATTCAAATACAACACTACTTCTCGCCACTGCTCTCTACGCCTTGCAAATTATTACCTCAGCTGATCAAGTACTAGGCCTGCATCAATCTTGCCAGCACGCTTGTCATGATTAGGAATTATACATCTTACAAAATTGGGGTTGGTGTTTCGCAGGGTCATCATGAGCTTTGTCAGCTGTTCCTTGTAAAGCTGACTCACTGTACGGAACATGCCTTTCCTGGTGCGAGCGCCAAACTGACTGTCTCCCATTGCCTGCTGTGCCATTCCAACAATCTCAGCTGTGAATATTATGGTCCTGAATTAGCATATGAAAATTTGTAGGGAAACTAGTGGCTTGTTCTAAAAATCTTAAAATATTTTTTGATAAACATCAATGGTCATGCCTTTTGTTTATAATCCATTACTTGTCAATTTCTTTTGAAGAAATGTAAACTTATTAATAGTCTTTCCCTAGATCAAATAAAGTACTTTACTTTAATTTCTCAAATGCTCCTTTGATTTCAGTGCAGACCACATACAGTACAAATTCTGACAAATAAAGTGCACTCCCTTTTTTTATTGTAAATCTGATAATGTTCATATGGTAATTCACTTTGTATACAAGCATATACAGTAAATGGAAACCCTAAAGCAACAATTTAAAGCACACACAATTTTGTATCCTAAATTATTTTCTTTTTCTTATAATTGCAAATAATTTCATGAATTTAATTAAAGCTATTCAGTAATTCCTTCAGCTGTTTAAACTGCATTGGCCTTTATTAAATTCTGCTCACCATCTTTCCAGATTTGTACCATAAAAGGATCCTGAGATGCCTGAAGCAATGACACAATGTTTTCGTTAAGGGGGTCCATGTTCTTCATCAGCCACTGGTGTCCTGAGTAATCTACCTTGCCAGCATAATGGACAATGGCAAAGTCAGCTTTATCACGAAACTCTGACTTGCAGAACTTTGGGTGGACAGAGTGAGAGGTGTTGAGCTTGTCGATGAATGTTTTGTCAGTAGCCTTGGGGAACCAACACTCTTCATCCAAAAGGGCCAAGATACCCATTGGCTGGAAAAAAGAAACTTATAAATCTGTTGTTTACCACTCATTAGCAAGGCAAGTTTTTTGAGCAAGGCGCTCTTATTTTTTTTTTTACATAATTTTTTTTTTATAATACCTATCGGGATTTAGTTATTATTTATATGAAAATGTAATTTTATTTCATTTTTATTATATTTTGGTAGTAAATATGAATGAAATAAGGACGTAAATTGAATTGGGTCCTAAATTAACTAGGGTTTTAAATATAAAAAGTTATTGGTCGAACCATTGTTATCGGAGGCTTTACTGTATAGGTATTACATTAGTGAACATCTTTCTCCAAAAGACTACTATATATACAATTGGCACAGCAGGACATCATTCCTGATCTGAAATATAGACGAGGAGTTACATACAGGTATGCCCCGCGTTACGGAAGCTCGGGTTATGGAATTTCGCCCTTACAGAATTTGTAAATTATGACCAATGATTTCGCGTTATGGCCCGTAAATCTGCCCTTACGGAAATTAGGGTAAATTTTAATAAAAAAAAAAACACTATATAAAATTATAATTTTTTTTTAAAAATTCTAATATGTTTGGTGTGGATTTCTTGGTGTTTGCTACCGCCAAGTGTGGCGTCGCCACGAGGAATCACTCCATTAATTACATCCAGTGTGCGCGTATGTTTCTCGCCCCAGCAGTTTGATTTAACTTTTACAAACATACATTAAGTACAGTACAGTGCAGTGCATTACCCTTATTCAAGATGACTGGAAAGAGGCCATCAAGTGGAAGTGACCGTAGTAGTGCAAAAAGAAGCCATAAAGGCATTACATTGGATATTAAACTTGACATTTTAAGAAGGTTTGATGCTGGAGAAAAACATAGCCAGATTGCAAAAACATTAGGTCTTGCTACTTCAACAGTGGGAACAATCCGGGATAATAAGGACAACATTAGGTCAAGTGCTCAAACAGCTACTCCATTAACTGCTCAAACCTTGTATTTTCATGGAAGTGATGCGATGCTGAATATGGAACGACTCCTGAGAGTCTGGATTAAGATCAGACTAAACACAATGTGCCACTAAACACTATGGTTATTCAACAGAAGCCATAAGTTTATATAATGATTTGCAGGAAGAGGAAGGTGCATCTTCTGAAGTTAAACCTTTTCTGGCGAGTGAAGACTGGTTTGAAAGGTTTAAGAAGCGCCTTAATTTACACATCATAAAAATGAGCGGTGAAGCTGCCAGTGCTGATACAGATACTGCTAATAAATATCCTGCTGAGCTGAAGAAAATTATTGATGAAGGAGGTTACACACCAGAACAAGTGTACAATGTTGATGAAACTGGGCTTTTCTGGAAGCGCATGCCTGCTAGAACTTTTATTTCCACTGAAGAAAAATCAGCACCAGGCTTTAAAACATCCAAAGATCTTTTAACACTTCTTTTGGGAGGAAATGCCTCAGGTGACATGAAATTAAAGCCCCTACTTGTGTATCACTCAGAAAATCCAAGGGCTTTCAAGGGCTATGCCAAGTCTAATCTACCTGTGATTTGGCGTTCCAATAAGAAGGCTCGGATGACTATGACCCTTTTCCAAGACTGGTTCACAAAATTTTTTTTCCCTGCTGTAGAAAGATATAATGCCAGGCAAAACATATCTAATAAAGCATTGCTCCTCTTAGACAATGCACCAAATTTAAATGATCTTTCTGATAATGTGAGAGAGGAGTACATCCCCAAGAACACAACTTCCTTGCTCCAGCCAATGGATCAAGGTGTGATAGCTAACTTAAGGCATATTATCTAAGGAAAACTTTTTTGCAGCTCATAAAAGCAATTGATGGGGAGGATAAACGTACAATTAGGGACTCCTGGAAAAAATTCAACATCTTGGATGCTGTGGATAATATAGCAGTCATGGGATGAAGTGAAAACCTCAGCTATGAATGGTTCATGGAAAAACATATGGCCAGAGTGTGTCCATGAATTTAAAGGTTTTCACAAGCTGAAAGTCTATAGCAAGTTCAACAAGATATTGTGACACTTGCAAATAATGTCGGCTGTGAAGAAGTCATAGAAAATGATGTGGTTGAGTTGCTAGAGTCCCATAGAGAAGATTTGACTAATGAAGATCTGATGATGTTGGAACAAGAGCGAGCTGCAGGACAAGAAGAGGATATAGAATCTCCACCACCCCACTTCAGTTGACAACAAAGGATATGTCTAAAGGGTTTGCACTAATAGAGGAAGGTCTGCAAATCTTTGCTGATAACGACCCCAACCATGAAAGGAACATCAAGACTGCAAGAGCAGTTAACAATGCTCTCGGTTCCTACACTGAGCTGTACAAGGAGAAGGTGAGCCGTAAACGTCAAACAACTTTGGATGAGTTATTCACTCTCAGAGAAAAGCCTAAAGCAGATGATGATTTACAGGGCAGGGCAGAAGATAGTGGTGCCCCTCCCTCTCAATAACTCCCTTTGCACCACCTGTCCTCACGCAGCAGTCAACATCTTTTGTGGTGAGTACAGTACAATATTTTTATTTATTCCAACTGTATTTCTCTTCATATTACATGTATATCATAAATTATTTATTGTACTGTATTGTATGTGTTTATAAATGTTTATTTTCGTTCACGAAAATGCTTGAATTACTTTTTGGGGGCCGAAAAAAATTCCGTAGGAACGCACCTCCAGTTTTTTAATGGAAGTCAAAGGGAAAATAGGTTTTGCGTTATGGAATTTCGCGATACAGTCAATTTTCCAGGGACGGAACCCTTCCGTAACGCGGGGATGCCTGTATTGTAGTACACCAAAACTAACTCACCTTCTCAATGAGGTCAATGGTGGGTTGAAGATCTAGGCCAAAATCTATGAACTTCCACTCAATTCCTTCACGCTGGTATTCCTCTTGTTCAAGGATGAACATAGTGTGATTGAACAACTGCTGTAACTTCTCATTTGTGTAATTGATGCAGAGCTGCTCAAAGCTGCAATTTAAAATACTGTATCAACACACACACACACACACACATCTTACTATCTGGGTAACATAACATACTTTATTGTGATTAAACTACTAAAAAAGTAAACCAAAATCTTATTTTTAAAGATTTTGCACAAACAATAAGATACATTCAAAACACCTTTTGAAACACATCCCCTTCTACAATGCTTGATATGTAATTTTTTAATCAGATCAAATTATACAGTCATTGAATACACTAATACCTGGATATGGAACCCAAATGGAGCTAAAATTTTTGTCAATTACTTTCTCCATGGGATGCTGCAGTTCAAATATTAACTGTTAATATATTTGTATCAAAATCTCCTACCTTAACATGGTTACATAGAATGTCATCTTCTAGTACCAAGAATTCTATGATAAACAACCATTCCTTACATCTCTTCTTTTTCTCTGTTCTCCCTGTAGATAGTAACACACTTTGGGTAAATTTTAGGAGAATCCCACTTTCATAAAAATCTAAAGTGTTTGAGGCCTTGAATAGTTTTAGGTACCAGTCACCAATATAATTGGTAAATGAAATAGTGTAAGACAAGACAACAATGTACCAACCTGTTCATGGCAAAGATTTCAAAACCAGCTATATCAAGGATGCCAATGAAGGATGCACCTTGGCGTTTGGTGCGGTCCAGCGAGCGGTTGATCCGCATGACAATCCACTTGAACAGACGCTCATACAAAGCCTTGGCGATGGCCTCTACAGCAAACTCACACTTTAAGGAATAATTAAAAAATAATTAACTTTCAAAAACATAAATTGAAAGGAATTTAAATAGAAGAATGGTTGCTATGAAAACAATTCTCGACATGCACAAACTCTACTACTTATTTCTTCTCTAAACAAAATTGACTAAAATGTTTCAACAAGTCCATGATACAATGACCTTACCTGCTCTTTGTTCTGTGCTTTTGTGACAGTCTCACGACCCACTTTGATGCGTGGCTTCAAGAATCCTCTCACCAAGTCAGTCACATTAAGTCCTAATAGGTGGGCCACCTAAAACAAATAAATAAAATAAAATACTTCCTGTAACTGTTAATTTGTCTCAAAACCTTACAAAAATGGTTACAATAATTTGACATTCAAGTTTCAATAATTAAGGCCATTAATCTACAGTGTATCTGTTGGATGCTATTCTCACTTAAAAATTCTCTATACAGTACCTGCTGGGCGACAGTATTGTCTGGGAGGGTAGCCTGGTCTGAGCTACGTTCCTGCTTGAACTGCATGTTACCAAACATTAGCACAGCAGACACAGTTCTGAAGACAGCTGTAGGGTGTTCACAGAAGTTAAGAAACAACAACTACAATGGAGATTTTGTTGATGTTGGAAGATATCCAACATTACAAACTACATTATTAATCACTTAACTGAATCTGTGGGCACATCACCTATGCCTTAGATTCCATAATGGCATTAGCCCCAACTTAAGATTTATATAAATTTCTTGTTTTTACTTAATAATGATTATAAAAAAGAAATCTCCCCCAGAGGATAGCATTCTTCCCTATCTAATCATATTTTTGTCCTCACTCTATAAAAACTTTTATTGATAATATGAAGAAACATAACATTTCTGAGTTTTCACTTGGAAAGTACGGTGTTGAGTTGTGCTGTAGTACACGTAACTACAAAAATACAGCTCTAACAGGCATTTTTGTCTCTGTAGCTCAATAAAAACAAGTGTCTAGTAATCAAGTACTACATGGAACAAAACACTGAAAAATTCATTCACTCTTACCAGTAGTATAGTATTATATCTTAATAATGGTTAAACTCGCCTAATTCACGAGATTAAATAATCAGTTGTTCTCTTCCCACAACAAACATTTGTTATTTAATACTTTACTACAGTATTAGATAAAACACATTAAGTACAGAAAGACATTGATTAAAGTTTTTGAACGCAGCAAATTTCCATCAATGTTTGGATGATTTAGCTGAAGTAATTACCCTGAATTCACTCTTCAAGGAGTTGTCTGAAAATCGGTATAATGTGTGGATAAGCCAGTGAGATTGTGGAGACATTGAGCCATACAAAGCTCCATGCAAGAAATGAGGTGGTAAGGTGGCTCAGCAAGGAGGATTCCCGGTAAGAATGATAGCTTCAGATATTCTGGAAGGAGAGTGAATCTGTAACAGGTAGTGGAAGGTGGAGAAAGTGCTAAGAGGTGAATGTGGGAATTTGGGCTCCTGAAGCTGCTACAGTAGTATGAAAGGATCTGATGACTGTCATCTGCATGTGCCCCACAAGTTGGACTAAATGAGGAAGTGAAGGAAGTGTTCTGGGACAAGTTGATTCTTGTTGTGTCAAGAGCTGGGTGGAAGATTGTCATATTGAGTGGTGAACTAAGTGGTTATGTCTGTGTACAAATCGAGGGTTATGAAATGCTGAAAGCATCAGGCAATGTAGGCGTGTCAATGGTGACTGAATAAACACTAATGCAATCATGTTGGAATGTACTGTTCCAGACAACCAGAGGAAGAAAGTGATCAGGAGTACCGTACAGGTACTTACAACGGTATAGGCTATGCACTTTCAAGTGGTACCTACAGAGGTCTGAAGCTACTAAATCAGGTTATTAAAGCTGAAGAAAGTGATTGGGAACTGATAAAGGAGGTTCTACAAGATAAATATCTAGGTGGGGGTGTGTGTGTGTGTGTGTACACAAACAGTAGACCAAGCTGTGAATGGGTGCCTAATCTTATAGTTAATCAACTGAAGCTGGTCGAGTGCAGAGCTTAGTCAATAGTGCTCTGTATATGCAGTATTCTTAAGCCCTGGGGCTTACTGGACCAACTTTCATTAGTGTTTTGAATTTTATTTCACATATTCTAATCTAAACAAATGGTGCCACTGAATGTAAATATACTTACACTGGATATCTTCATTATTCATTCCCATGATCTGCATAGCTTTAACAGTGGCTTGGAACTCAGCGACCTCATCCATGCCTGGCACCTGGATCTTCCCTCGTGTCAGGAAATTGTAGTGCTTAGGATCTTCCAGTATAAAATCCTCTGTGGATTGAAAAATATTAAATGTTAAAACCTTTACACAGTAATACAACAGCAAGATGTGGTGGTTCTTGACTGTACAATAAATATAAAGATATGCTAAATTTTAGCCAAATGAGATTAAAATTAAAAATTTGGTAGTGACCTGAATGCAAGAAGTAAGTTTCCTCAATGTACAATCGCTCAAAAATCTGTCTTTACAAAATTGTGTTAGACAACAAAAACAATGGTTGAAGGATTATGATAATCCTACCGACACAACAGGAGCTGCAGTTTTCATAACGAAATTCATCAAACACCCCTCTATAGTGTTATGAGCACTTGTACAATAGTGTATACGGGTATAAAACAATGTGAATAATGAGCATTAGTAAAGTGGCATACAACTGTACAGTACAGTACTCTAATTTATACTCTGATGTACAGCACCTCCTCCACTCTCTATAAAGCTCTTTGGTACCACTGTAAAGTTGCCTCCAGGTGTGTTGTCCCCCCCCATCCCCCGTGTGCTTCTGTTATTCATGTGGCAAGAAAACACTTGGAGGTGACTTTACATTAAATAAATCTCAGGTTAAGGAGCACTCAACTTGTACAATCCTATAACAACTGATTTGGCTTAGGATAAAAATGGATTCACAAACAAAATTACTTATTGCAAGTTTAGGAGTCTATGAATTTCATGAGAGAATTTCATAAATTTAAATGAATCCAAAACTAATGTTCATGAAGTTTTCTTACATCCACTCGCTATATAAATTGGTTTTAGTGATAAGGAAAGGTAAACATACTTCTCTGCTGTTGGTTAGCTCCCGCCAACAACTGGTAGAAAATGTGGAATGTGCGTTCATCAGATGTCTGACGAATGGCTCGGGACTTTTCAAGCAGGTAAGTTTCAATATTGGCACCGGCAATATAACCAGAGTTGTCAAAGTTGATGCGGATGAATTTACCCTGGAAGTATCAATAAGGGTGTTACTCTAAATACAGTACTTAACATGGATACAGTATCACAGAACACTGAATCCCTTAGGAGATATTTCTACTTAACATGTTTCATGTCCAGTATATATCACCAATATGGAGTGAAATAAATAATTTGATACAGAGGAATGAATCAGGATTTCCTCCCACTACAGTATGGTGTCATCATAATTAAATTATATGCTGCAAATTTTGGATTCAATTAGTTTATAATTTTTGGATAATTCACAGGTGAATACTGTATCAACATTATCAAAAAAAAAAATTATTCCCTAAATGGACTTACAAATCTTGAAGAGTTGTCATTTTTTACTGTCTTGGCATTACCAAATGCTTCAAGAATGGGGTTTGCTTGCAGAAGCTGTGCCTCGAGCTCTCCCTGTAAAATAAAAGTCTATCAGCTAAAAGTTATTTATATTATTATTATTTTTTTAACTAATGATACCCTAGCAACAGGAGTACAGTATTACATTGTCAAAACCCTACAGCTAGATGAGAATTGGTGTATTTTAAATTAAAATTTCATTACAAACAAATACTCCCGCACTTGTGAATAATGAAATGAATACAGTACTGTACCGTACTTTATGTAATGTACAGGAGATTTGACATTAACTTTCATCTTACCAGAAAGACTTCCCATAAATTTCAATGCCAATGATACCTACCACAAATATACACTGTACATAGTAGGAATTTGCAAAACTACAAATTCTGTTACCTTAATTTGAAGTTATTACAAAATATTTAATATGCATGAAAGTACAATTCAAGTAGCCTTCAATTTTAGCACATCCATCAGAAAACTATTAAAAAAATTAATTTATGAAGACAACTTGACAAAATCCTGTTGTAAAAATACCTATGTTACAATCTATTCCCATATTTTACTTTATCACTAGACAAAGAAATATGAGAACTATCTCACCTGTCAGGTTTATAGTCTGTACCCAAAAATACAAAATAAACAATGGAAAAGCAATACCTTAATAATGCATATTTACAAAGTTGTCCACACTGTTCTCCAAGACCACAATGGTTCTGCATCATGACTTATCAGGTCCTCCACATTTAGTGGTTACCGGTTAGCTATTCTTCAGGATTTTCCATTCTACCTATTACGACCAGCATGATAATTCTAATCTACCTGAAATATCTAACATAATTAAGTTATTTTTTCTGCTAGAGTACTGTAAACATAAATCCACCCAGACAGCACTACACTACAGTCTGATAATCAATAGTAACTTCACCCCTAAAATTCCATAAATATTATGGTAGTTTACACAAACTAACAGCCTTTTAATTAGCCCAAAGCTATAATTGCTGGCAGAGGCTGCTGACCCATGTGTATGTCTACTGACACTGGCAAGACAATGCAGTCTCTACTAGTTGCCAGCACAGGTCACCTGCTGATGCTAGTTACTTAACTTTATTGGCTACAAACCTCCTTATTGAATAAAATTCAAAACTGTTGAATTAATAAAATTAGTGTAGTGCACACAGTTCCAAGCCATAAAAATCATGCTGTTATTTAATTCAGACATGCATGTGTCACCCCCCCCCCCAAAGCCATCATCCATGATAGCTGCCTGGTAATACTTTATGTACAGTACAGTACTTCCATGTAAAATGGCAAGATTTACCATCACAGCATAAACCAACACAGTATTATACAGGCATGTACAGGTATATATTAAATGCATAACCTGTACTTTTCTATATACAGAAGCAAATGCCTTGAAAACTTATGCATTTAACACCTTCTCAAAAAGTACCGTACCATGCTGATGACCGTGTTAAGAGAAAATAGTACCAGTGAGCCCTAGCTGAAATATATGTTTCCCCACAGTGTAGAGTTCTAGTCTTCCAGTAAATTACATCATTATTAATTAGATACGAGATCAAACCAACTACAGTACAAGCATACCACAGAAAGTCAAACTGTGAAAACAAACTGAAAATAGGGGTTCAAAATGTTCTGTCCAGGGTTCCCACTGTGGTCTTTGTTGAAAAAAACCGACTTTTCTTTACCCCAAAATATTTTTTTCTAGACTAGTTAAATAAAACTTAAAGGCAATTGGAAGCTACCTCTTTCCCATAAAGAAACCTTTTCTGTGAAGTACTGTGTAGTAACTACAGTACAGGTAAAATGACAACTGCTTGTCCAGAATTTTTCATTAACTAGTGAACCCCCCCCTCCCACACACACTGGGATTAGTTATATAGACCCTTTGTGACCAATACTCTGTAATCCCTCTGCACTACCATTCACATAAAGAGTGTGGGGGTGCACAATAAGCTAGATGATGGTAGTGGCAAAATTAAATCAAATTAAAACTACTGTACTGTACTTGACAGATTCACAAAAACCAAGTACAGTAGAGCCAAGCACCTGTATTTCAGAAAGGTGGGTACACAATGCAACAGACAGAACTGACCAGTTCATGAAAACTTTATTTTAGTTCTTTTTATATATAAATGAACAGGTAGTAAATCCAATTTTCTTTCAGTAAAATGTACTGTATTAGAGTACTGTACTGTACAGTACAAGGTTATTACAATCATTATAATTGGAATGACAAAAGACAGCCACTTCCATGAAAATTAATCCAACACGTAATAAATTTTCATCTTTTCTGCCTTTTAAAATGTTTTAAAATTTTTGATCCAATAAAAACATTACTTACTGTTTCCTGATCCAAAAAGGGGGCATATCGTTTCTCATTGCCAGGGGGAACCCTGTTCTAACTACAGTACTAAAAACATACAGCATTCCCCTTACATCGAGAAATCCAGAAAAAATACGAATGCCAAAAGCCAAAATGATAAAGTCATTACAGCCAGGGCCGGATTAAGCTTAATAGGGGCCTGAGGCACAGATCAACTTGGGGCCCCCTACCCTCAAGGTATATATAAATAACAAGAACAAAAATACCCAAATTTATCAGTGATTTCATCAATATTAAGCTTCTGCAAAATAACACATTTAATGTTCATAAGAGACAGAAAATTGAGACGTTACTTGGACATCGTTGAACGAAGTTCATGTTTAATACGCTTCAACTTCGAGAATTTTTGGATTTGGGGGCCCCTTAAAGTCGGGGGGCCTGAGGCTAGTGCCTCAAGTGCCTCATGGTTAATCCAGCACTGATTACAGCCGAGATTCTTCTCAACTAGACACTACATACTTGTATTAAAAACTCAAACAAAACAAAAATAATAATATAACCGAATTCACCAGCGAAATGTGACGGAGGTGTATAATACATGCTCTGGATGATGATTAGGGATCTGGTAGTGCTGCGGTGAATAGGTACAAGGTATCTACAGGGTGTTCTTTAGTGGTTACCTATAGTGCTCCATCTAAATACTATAGAACAAAACAGGGTTGGGTTAGAAGTTGCTTAGAATTGAGAACAAGATAAATCTTTTATTTATACAGGATATTAGGGTTAAGATTTGACTAAGGATAGGGTTAGGAAATAAAACTATTTTTTTCCCAAACTATAAATAAATTTATTCTCTTATTTTCTAATCCTAGCTCACTCTTAACTCTACCCCATTTAGTTCTATGGAAATGTAACACCGTATAGTAGTAGTGATGTAGAGTAGGTAATAAGTGTTGGAGTGGAAAGAGTACCAGGAGGGGTGGATTGCTGGTGGTACAGGAGTAACAGCAGTGATGGTACAGTGATGGAGCGGTGATATACTTATTGTGTTATGGTAGTGGCAGTACAATACAATACTAGCAATGATAGAGTGATAATGGTACTAAGACTGTTGTGTGGTGGTGGGATAATATGTTGGTTAGAGGTGCATATAGCAATAGGTGGAGATTAGGTACAGATTGGCGGCACTCAAAGTTATCGTGAGTGTGGTGCTAACGTATCAACAATAATGATGGGTAGTAGTAGTAGTAGTAGTAGTAGTAGTAGAGGTGGTGGTGGTGAAAGTATGGAACACACAAACAACAGTGGTTGTGAGTGAGGGAACACGTTGCCCACATGTGTGACAATATCCAACAAGATATGGTGCAAGTTTCTGAGTAAAAATACACCCGTAAAATAAGAACTACAAGAGGCATATTATATAAGCATGAGATATTAACAGCGCCCATAGACTACCTACCACTGAAGGTCCACCGTACACACTTGCCAACCCTACAAAATGGGCATTGAGCAAAGGGCAGATCAAAGCGCAACACACACACACACGTGAGAGCGGGCGACAGGCGGTGGTTAGTAAGCAGACCGTTCCTTACCGCAATGTTCTGCACTTGCGTCAGCCAGAAACACAGCAGCAGCACCAACAGCAGGAGGCAACACCAGCAACAGAAGAGATGAGAAAATACCTCTTATCAATTAAGATAAAAATTTACCTTTAACAACCTTGGCTTTGTTAGCATGTAGCACCTTCACTCCCCTATTATAACTGCAGTTCAACATGCAGGTCAGTCATTTAAATACCCAGAAAAGAAATGAAGATTTTTTTAATAAAAACTGAGAACAGAGGTTACATTAATATGTAAGGCTAGTGTTCAATACTCTTTAATATATTAAAAACAGTACTGTATTTTGGTTACTTGCTTGATCTATTTACATAATATTAGTATGGTTACTATCCAATACCTTTTGGCTATGTACAAGTCTCAACATGTATCATACAACTGGGGATGCAAACAAACACTGAAGTACTATGGGTAATGGAAACTACTAAATTACAAAATGGGGAAGTGTATGACAGTACAGTATATTGAAGAAGTCGTACGATAGAATCAAGTAAGGCTCTTGCAAAATATCATTTACAGGAGAGGAGCTACACTGTAACTACTGCAGTGCTAAAACAAGTCTGTCTCAGTTCAGTACAGTATGCACAACATTATAAAGTAATATACTGTAACACATAACATGTGTACACAAACCTGTAGCAGCCTGCAGAGTACAGTATAAGTGATTGTATACTGTACACATTAAGTACTGTATCTACATAAACCTGTGGTGCCCGACACGTACAAATGACTAAAAACTCTATTTAATTTAGTGTTTACACTGACAGGTGTTGCTGTACACCAAAATAAGCCTGCTTAATACTAATGTATGCTTTCTACCAATTTTCTTAATAAAAACTTTAAGAGGTCAAAGTCTAAAACATTAATGATGGAACTTTATAATAGAGCACTGGCGCATAAAAAAAAAAAAATAGGTTGATTGACTAGATAGAATATCTGGTGTCACGGCCAGCGGCCATTTGAAGCCTAAAAATGTATATATGAAGTTATAACTGATAAAAAAATAAGTTAAGATTAAAACCACTAGTGACCAAGTACTGCTACGGCAGTTCAAAATTTAAAAAGTCTACCTTCAGGTGCAGAGCTTTTCCCATCGAGCACCTTTGCTGGCATTTGCCAGGAAATGACTCCCCAAGTCCACATGACCGGGACTCTCCGGTTTTTATAAAATTCTATTAATTGTAATTACAAGTGAAAGTAATCACTCATAAAAGTAATTAGATATAACAAGATTACAGTAAAGGTATGCCAAAAAACTACTTCATTACTGTAATCTATTACAGTTGCTTCATTACTCACCCACCACTGGCTGTGCATAGCAAATTAATGATAATCAGATGGTGGTAACAACCATAAACTTTTTACGTCCATTGCTGTTACAGTACTACTGTCACCATCTTCTGACCCTTAACTAACTGAAGTATCCTTGCCCCGACTATCACCAAAGCCACATTATCAGTTCTTCTTATCTTAATGATCTCCCTCTATTTTGTAGTTATTTCAAATACTAAAACCTCCCCTTCATCCAAAAAATATAAATAAATATTACAAAATTTTGTGGTAAACAGATAGAATTTAAGTTCCAATATTTTAGAGAAGTCACAGGTGCCACAAGTGCCCCTCCCCTCCCCTCCCAAAGGATGTATGGCCAACTGTGGTGGTAGAGTATTTACTTATAACCTTACTACAGGTGTAGCACATGAGTTGCAAGTCTCTAGCAGAGACTGTACTGTATGGTATATTCTAAACAGAGTCAAGTTAGAAAGACAAAATGATAGACTATTCATCAAAGTATCAAACCAGCGGCCATCCTAATACGGTTCCATGACAAAACCCCAACGGGGTTGTCATTTGTCAACACTAACCTAACCTAAACATAAGCGTTTTATTTCATATATGAGACTGGGGTTTTGTCTGTTGGGGTTTTATCCGGCCACCCCTAATATGTGTGGGAATGTTAAATTTAATTATGGAGGTTTCCCATGTAACATTTTATATCCAACAGGACAGCATAGCTGCAGCCTTCACCAAGCTTCTCGAATGATATGGCCATCGTGGGGGTAGCAGAGGAGCAAGAGCTGGAAGTGTGTTGTTCATTAGTCGAACACAGGTTGGCCATTATCACACCTCATCTCGCCAGAGGCGCAACCAATTTACCACTAAACCTGCCCGGGCCACCAGCCACATATTGTTCCATTTTCACAACCATCTCCCAAATGTTAAACCAACTCTTGATCAACAATAATATTTTGTCTCCAAATGCTACCCACACTAGCATTCGCCATCCTTTTAATGCCATGTGCTGGGTGAAAGATGAGGGAGTCGTTAATATGATGGAGAGCTGATATTGTTGTCCCAAGGCAGTGTGAACCTCTACTGGTACTCGCTACAGCTTGTTGGGTTTCCTAAACTTAGCTGGCTGGGACTTTCACAAGTAGAGCAAGCCGGGCGGCACTGATCAAAAAGGCTAGAATACAGTTGCGGTCAAGTGGTGGTAATGGTGACTGGTGGTGGTAGTGGTAGTGGTGACTTATTGGTGGGGTGGTAGTGAGACTGATGGTAGTAATAAGTGGTGGTGCAGTGGTAATAGTGAGATTGTAGTAATAAGTGGTGGTGATGTGAAAGTGGTGTTGCTGTGATAGGGATGACTGGTGAGTGGTGGTAGTGGTGACTGGTGGTGGAGTGGTAGTGGTGACTGATGGTGGAGTGGTAGTGGTGACTGGTGGTGGAGTGGTAGTGGTGACTGGTGGTGGAGTTGTAATGGTGGTTGAGTGCTAGTGATGAAGTGGTATAGTAAGAGCAATCACGCAGTGTGCTTTATCACACACTTGCACGTACTGACGGAGGTGGTAAGTGTCCCAGCCAGCCAGCCAGACCTGAGTACCTCCCCTCCTCCTACCTCTCTCACCACCGCACTAATACTACACATCACCACCTCCCCTTTACAACCCCTCTACTGTTACCTACTTACTATCTACACCCGCATCACTATAAAATTTAACAAACTCATTACCTAAAAAGTACCTACTCTCTTACTCGTCGTCTTGAGATTTGGGGAAAAAATCGGTTCCTTAGTTTAAGAACACTCCTGAGAATGCCAATGCTGTACATGGCCGACAATAACTTTACGTCAAGTTTACCAAACAGTCACGATTATTTAAACGATACACTTCCTTTCAATTAAGCTAAAGCTGACAACATTAGGTTGGTACAAAAACCCGCTTCTTGGTTATCAAACAGTTGCTAAAGGTACAGTGCATACGTCGCATGATAAACTACTATACACTTTTAACCCCTGAGAACACATTAAGTTCGCCGTGACCTTTGATAATGATACGCGATTTAAAAAAAGAAGCAATCCACTTAAAAATTGTATCTACAAAATTCCCGCACTCACAAGCGCAAAACGTAATGAAAAACCATCGCAACATTGTGCTTGGTGCCGACCCCCCCACCCCCGATTCCCTCCCCACCTACTGTACACTTAACCAGATTAGCAAATCATATCACCATCTACTCCCCTCCGACATTTTAAAATGCCAATTATGAGTTGTTTTTTCAGTTAGGTTCTTCATTTTCCCATCAGCAGCGTCAACTTTTTGCGAGTTGTGTACCTGCGTGGCCTCCTAACAGGCGCCATCACTCGCTACTTCACCTCCCTTTCCACTGTTTACATTTGAACATTTACTTGGCCCGCTACTACATTCCATATTACATAAAAAACTATTAATTATTCCAATCGCCAATTTTAATGTCCTGACTATCTTAATAGAATAGTAAAACTTAACTCAAATGACCCTTATTTAGTCCCTCTTCGAGAGCACCATCCACCTTTTGACGCCATCTTTCGAGGATCAAGACCAGTTTTAAGCTTCGTGAAGTCATGGAGAAATATTACTCTATTTGTTAAATTTAATGTTTCTTTTTCTGTAGTGGCTCTTAAATCCCGTCAGCCATCGTACACTTTTTCTCAACTTACACCCTGAAGAAAGCACCCAGTGAGGTCCTCTCCTCAGCTCACACAATCAACCTAACCTGTTCCGTCGCTCATTTTCGCAACCTCTTGCGGGGAGAGAGAGATACACGAGGCCAACACACAGATAAGCCATCAATTAGAGAGAAATGTAGGTTTGAGTTCAGTGATAACCTTGAGTTTGGCGATGGCTCCTCCCCAACCATCTGTCAAACAAGCTGAAACAGAGAGGCATATGGTTACCCTGTGGTCTTGTCTTTACTTGGTACAAGACACCTTCCCTTCACTCAAGTTATTACCCATGCACAGCCGTTTTCTAGGGCATGACCAGACCAAGGTAGTGTGAGTGGGTTATAACATGTGCCCCACCAGCTGGTAGGGAGGGAGTGACCCGAACGATCTTGGGTCATGATCTCCCCCCTCCGGCAGTCACCGCTCACAGGTAGTTGCGGCTCTGATGCAACACAACACTACACTGCACTAAACTTTTTCCAAGCCCTCAGCGCTTATCTATTGACACTGATCATTACCTCCCTCCGCTTGATTGCTACATCACCTCACCACGTATCAACAATCCATTTACTTTGACGGGTGCACAAGGCAAGCTCGGGAAGCAATCTTTTAGAAGTAATTTGTGTTGGCAACTGTAAGATAATGATATTCATTCCAACACTCAAGATCTACACATGAAGGGTGGTACTTGGGTGTTGGGGCGCGGCAGATGGCTCGGGAAACAACTGATACGCCAACCCCGGCGGCCCACAGCTGTAGCATCAATTAGAAAGTTCAGGTCCTTCGTGAGAAACTGCAAGGTTACATAATTTCCTGGTAAACGGACATTTCTACACGTCTACTCAACATGGGAGGCTCAACTTCTCCAGTATCTGAGTTTTCCAGACGTATCCATCTCACCAGAGCAGACTAACAAGGTGACGACTCACTGAACGCCCTTGATGGTCCATGGTGTCGCTCAATTAAGAACATCACTTTAGAATGGGTTATTCGCTCC